CATCTGGGATGGCCTGTTAAATGTCTTTACAGTGTTTGTACTCTTCCTGAGTTTCTTTACTTGGTCTCTTGTGATGTGATATTGGATACAATGGCCTATACATATTGTTAACATGAATTTTGGATTGGTGATGGGTTGGAGAGCAGTACTGCTCATTAGAAAGTATTTTATTTCTATGCTACTCTTTACTTTTTCCCAGATAAACAATTTCAACAGCGATCCTGAAGTTTTCATCTTTTTACTGAGCACTCGAGCTGGGGGTTTGGGCATTAACCTGACGGCAGCAGACACTGTCGTTATATACGATAGTGACTGGGTAAGTATTGTTAACTAACAGTGACTTTATAGGCTTAAAGCTACCAACTGAAGTTTACTGTTAATCCTGTGACTGTCGCTGAGATTGTTGACGACAGAGTCCTAGAGCACGGAGATAGGCCCTTTGTCCCAAACTGGTCCATGCCGACCAAAATGTCCATCCAAAACCCATTTCCCTGCACTTGGCCCATATCCTTCTAAACCTTTTCCTATCCATGTATTTGTCCAAATGCCTTTTAAGTGTTGTAAATGTACCTGCCTCAGCCACTTCAGCTGGCAGCTCATTCCAAATGCGTACCACCCTCTGTATAAAAAGGTTGCCCCCTTGGGTTTCCATGTATTCTTTCCCCTCTTACCTTAAACTGATGCCCTCTAGTCATTGATTTCCCCAACCCTGGGAAAAACAAAGTGCATTTGCCTTAGCCATGCCTCTCATGATCTTGTACACTTCTATAAGATTCCCACTCAGTCTCCTACACTCTAAAGAAAGAAGTTCTAGCTTGTCCAACCTTTCCCTAAACTCAGTCCCTTGAGTCCTGGCAACATCGTTGTAAATTTCTTCTGCACGGTTTCCAGTTTAATAACATCCTTCCTATAGCAAAGTATCCAAAACTGAACACAATATTCCAAATGTGGCCTCACCAACATCCTGTACAACTGCAACATAACTTCCCGACTTCTATACTCTGAAACATTGGCCTTCAGTCAGGGCACAAAAGCCTTCTTCACTGCCCTGTCTACCTGTGACTCCACTTTCAGAGAACAGTGTACGTGAACACCAAGGTCCTTCTGTTCCACTACACTCCTTAAGGCCCTAACATTCACCATGAAACTCCTACCTGATTTGACTTTACAAAATGCAGCACCTCACACTTATCTATAATAAACTCCATTTGCCATTTCTCGGCCCATTACCCCAGCTGTTCAAGATCCTGCTGCAATTTCTGATAAACTTCCTCACTGTCCATGATACTGCCTATTTGAGTGTCATCCGCAAACTTACTAATCATGCCTTGTACATTCTCATCCAAATCATTGATATAGACACCAAATACTACTTTGTGCACTGGGTAGAATCTACTGTAACTGATCAGTAGAGTGCAGTTTGGAATATCATTTTGAAGTCAGGGTTTTTAACTCTGCTATACCATTTGTGGCACACATTCTGTAGCAGGTTATTGTGATGTTTGCATTACAAAAACATTCCCCCTAGTGCAAGAGTAAAATAATGGTGGACGCAGGTCTGTTTTGAGATGCGAAATGAGCTTCCAGTAGTTTATGGGTGTTCTGTAACACCGTGCATAGAATCCATCTGTACTCTGTTTTCTAATCAATCTGTTCAGACATGATATTATCTCCTGGAGTATGTGGGACTTGATTCTGGGTCTCCAGGCCCAGGGGTAGAGACACTACCACTGCACCCTAAGATCCCTGTTCCATCTGTACTCTGTGCTGTCCATTGCAATGTGTTTTGGAATTTGGAACTGAGTGATACAACTCAGCCTCAACATAATAATAATTATTAGAAAATATCTCCCATAATGAAAACTTTAAATGTTGATTGTCTAGGCATTCACCCTCTTTACAGATGCAGCCACTTTTTTTTTTAAGAAATGCATGTTGGAGCTGCCCATCTTTATTTGAGCGGAGTACTGGATTTAAAGTCTTATTAGCACATTTAACATGAGGGTGACCTCTGATAGCTGAGTAAAATCACTGCCTAGTATGACTTATCTTGAAGAAAGAGCACGTTTTAAAAAAAAGCCCTGAGGATTCCTAGGCATGCTTAAAAACAGTGGTAGCAGCCAGTTTTACAGGTTATTGTATAAGCTGGACCTTTTTATAGCCAATGTTCATGTGTTGGCATCTTTTTGAAGACAACTCCCTTTGGAGTAATGTATGTTTGCATTGGCAATAATATTTAATGCTGAAGCAACATTAACATTATTGAGTGTTATTGTCAATAGGAAGCCAGTATCTGGTTCAAATCTGTTAACTGAATGACAGGTAGTGAATGATAGAAGTGCTGCAGGGAACTTGAGGTCTCTCTCCTTGTGTCATTCCAGAATCCTCAGGCAGATCTTCAGGCTCAGGATCGTTGCCATCGAATTGGTCAGACTAAGCCGGTTGTAGTTTATCGCCTGGTAACAGCTAATACCATCGATGAGAAGATTGTGGAGAAAGCTACGGCGAAAAGGCGACTTGAAAAGATGGTTATACATAAAAGTTAGTGGGTCGTTTTATTTAATTATTAATTTAGTATTAAATGCCTGCTCTTCCTTGGGGCTGTGGTCTTTCCATTTTGGCCACTCAATGTCCAAATCATTGAATATTACATAAAATTAATTTCATTCAAAGCCATTCAGAAGTTTGTTAGGACGACAGGACTGTCTTCTGATAAAAGGTTGAACAAGTTTTGTCCATATCCATTGGAGTTTAGAATGCCGTGATGTTACTGAAACACAAAATTCTCAGGCAGCTTGATGGAGTGGATGCTAAGAGGTTTCCCCTTTTCTCGGGGATGCCTGGAACTAGGGGAGACCACTTAATTAGAAATTTCTCATTTAAACCGAGGCCACAGATGTATGGCATTCTCTTCCCCAGCGAGCAGGGGAGGTTGAATCATTGAATACATTCAAGGCTGAGTTAGATTTTTGATACAAGAAAATCTAATAAGAGAATTGTACATTATAGCAATAGATCAGAAAGCGGAATTGAGGTCAGATTCTTATCAGCCACGAACTTGCTGAACTACAGGACAGACTTGAGGGACTAAATGGCCTACTTCTCATTGTTTTGTTGACAGATATGTCATGTGTAGCATGGGTTGGAATGGTGAAAGATGAGCTTCACAGGATCTTGGCACAGTGCACTGAATGCTGACTTAAACCTCTAGTTGAGGTTGGTTGGCTCGCCAAGCTGGTTTGTTGTTCCGCAGACGTTTTGTTACCGTGCTTGGTAACATCCTCAGTGCAGCCTCTGATGAAGCGTCAGTGTGTTTTCCTGCCTGATTTTTAAACTCTGGGGTCTGTTGCGATGGATTGTCTCACTTCCGGGTTCCCTCCTTAGTGGAATGTATATGGGGTAGAGTTCAATGTGTTTATTAATAGCATGCTTCGTGGAGTGCCGTGCTTCCAGGAATTCTCGTGCTTGTCTCTGCCTAGCCTGTCCCAGGATCTTGGTGTTGTCCCAGTCAAAGTCGTGGTTCTCCTTGTCCATGTGGATTGAGATGAGTGAGTATTGGTCGTGTCTTTTTGTAGCCAGTTGGTGTTCATGTACTCTTGTTGTTAGTTTCCTTCCTGTTTGTCCAATGTAGTGTTTCTCGCAGTTTCTGCAGGGGATCTTGTAGATGATATTGGTCCTGTCCATGTCAGGGAGTGGGTCAACTAAAGAGAAACACTACATCAGACAAACAGGAAGGAAACTAACAACAAGAGTACATGAACACCAACTGGCTACAAAAAGACACGACCAATACTCACTCATCTCAATCCACATGGACAAGGAGAACCACGACTTTGACTGGGACAACACCAAGATCCTGGGACAGGCTAGGCAGAGACAAGCACGAGAATTCCTGGAAGCACGGCACTCCACGAAGCATGCTATTAATAAACACATTGAACTCTACCCCATATACATTCCACTACGGATTAAACCTCTAGTGAATTTGAGGCTGAACTCCATGGCAGACTGAGTGAAAGTGACTCCGATTGAAATTGGTTTGTCACTTGAATCCAGCTTCCAGCAGACATGCTTTAAAACGGTCCGGGATTCGGCACCAGTGGATTATTTCAGTCACAGCCTTCAGGAAGAATAGTGGAGGGAATGAAGAAAATATCATTGGTTTTGTAGGAGATGCTCTTGTGGGGTTGTGGCTGAAACATAATGTGGGGCAGAGAGACAGTAAAGACTGCAGATGCTGGAAGCTAGAATCAATAAGTGTGGAGCTGGAAAAGCACAGCCAGTCAGACAGCATTTAAGAAGCAGGAAAGTCAATATTTCAGGCGAAACATTAGTCCTGACGAAGGGTTTTGGCCCAAAACGTTGACTTTTCTGCTCCTTGGATGCTGTCTGACTGGCTGGGCTTTTCCAACTCCACATTTATTGACCCATAATGTGGGGCAACACCAATTATGAATCTGGCTGTACTGTGCCTGACTTGAGACTCATTGATGCTGGTAAAGATATCCCTTTCCCCAACATCACTATTCTCCTCTCTCTCATCGTAAGAAAATCAGATTAAAACTTTGCTTTCCATCTGAGTTATACCCCTTGACTGACTCCAAGCAACTCTTTATTCACGTTTTCTATTGACCAAGTGTGACCAGTTAGGAACACTTCTTTTTTTTTCCATTTGCAAATAAATGGAAATTAGATATTTAAGATCTACTTCCAAAGGAGACTAGATCTGCACTATTGAATCAGAGATAGTAGGAACTGCAGATGCTGGAGAATCCGAGACAATAAGGTGCAGAGCTGGATGAACACAGCAGGCCAAGCAGCATCATAGGAGCAGAAAGGCTGACGTTTCGGGCCTAGACCCTTCATCAGAAAAAAAAATTTTTTTTTCTGATGAAGGGTCTAGGCCCGAAACGTCAGCCTAGATCTGCACTGTGGTTGTTTTATAGTGGAATGCAGTCTTACCTACAGCACCCTCAGAACTTTGTACTCTGTACTCTGTTGTCTCATTTAAGAATGGTCATGAGGCTCTTTCTCCATTCCTGTTCAGATAAGTTCAAAGGGGGCAAGTCAGGATTGAACCAGTCCAGGAGCTGTCTAGATTCTACAGAGCTGATGGAATTGCTGAAGTCTCGGGATCATGAAAGGTAAAGTAGATTGTTTAACCTTTTGTGCATTTCTCCATACTGTGGAGGCTTAAGTTCCCACACCCTCTGAAAGTTGTCTGCTGTGTTTACAACTGATCTGAGTTTTGCTTTCATCTGACACCATGCTGTCTTACATTACACACTTGTCCTCTTTGCTGTATTGCTACTGTCTTATTTCCAGAGTCACGAAATAAATCTGAAAATACTCAGGTCTGATAACAACTATAGGGAGCCAAACTGCTAATGATCTGTAGCCCCAGACTTTAAGTGTCACGTGACCTGCTGACTATTTCTAATCTGTAATTTCATTGAGTAACTCCTGTTAAATTTGACTAATGGCTAAATGCAGACTGTTAGTTCATCACAAGTCTCACTTGTCTGAAACGGTTTGTCATTTGTTCCCACAGAGTGGTGAAGGGCTCCACTGACCAAGTGATAAGTGATGGTGAGCTTCAGATCTTGATGGACCGCAGTGATCTTGGCAGTAAGTTCAAAACATGTGTCCCTGGTTTCTTTTGAACACCATTAGTTTTAGAATTACCTCACACTCACCCATCCGCCAGTATTAATTTGAAATATGATGCCCAATGAAATATCTCCACATAGGGAGGTATCCCAACATTAAGTCACCCTTTTATTTGCATGTGGAAAGCCTGATCCTGCTCCCTCAGAGCCAGCTATCAGAGTATCAGGATGTCTGACACTCCTGTGTTTTATTTATCAACAAGGGCTCCCTAATTGAGACTGTTAATCTGGTCCAATTAGTGAACTCGTATTCTGAGGTCCTAGCAGGGGTTTGTGGTTCTTTATTATTGCAGATCTATGTCCATAAAGGTATTGGTGGAACTTCGTGACTCCAAATATGACTGCCAAATCTTCCTTCTCTATTTGGCCACGTTTATGCTCTGCATTAGCCAGAGTCCGGAATGCACATTCTATTGGGCGTTCCTCTACCTTGAGTCGTCTATAAACTAATATTACCCCAGTGCCGTATGGGGAAATGTAGCATATCAATACCAGATCTCACTTAGGATCAGAGAGTGCCAACACCTTAGAGGATGATAGCTGTTTCTTCACTTCCCTGAAAGTCAAGGCTTGGCTACCAAACCACTTCTAAGGCTGATTCCCTTCTTAAAGAGTTAAGGTGCCAGGATGGAGGCCAGGCTATGTATGAACTTTTTGTAATAATTCAACAGTCAACTGAAAGACCTAAGCCCTGGTACAGATGTGGGAGCCATGCCACCTTTTGATCACCCTCCTTTTATCTTCCAACAGGTGTCACTTGGTCTTGTCGACACTGTGTAGCGAAGTAGGTCACTTGGGGTGCCTGGAACACACATTTTTCCTTTCTAAGACTTAGGCCCACCTGGGAGAAACACCTAAGGACTCTGACCAGAGTTCTCTAAGTGCTCCTTTATTGATCTTCCCTGTTATTAGCATGTCATCTAGATAAATGATAACCTGGGGTAGTCTTTGTAAAATATTCTCCAGTATCTGCTGAAAAATTGCACAGGTTGATGATACCCCAGATGGCTGTCTCACATATTGGTATAAACCGTTATGGGTATTAATTATAGCATACTTTGAGAATCCTTATTTTAACTGCAATTTCAAGTATGCATGTCTCGTGTCCAGCTTCATGAAGGACAGATCCTGCCAACTTTGCATATAAATCTTCTGACAGAGATTGGGTATTTATCCAGCTCTGAAAAGTGGTTTACAGTTTGTTTAAAATCCCCACGAAGGCGAACAATCTGTACGACTGGTGCTGCCCATTCAGCAAACTAGACTGCTTTGATTCCTTCCCAGCCTTCTGGTTACTGCATCTACGGCAACTGGCACTGGGCAGTCCTTGCAGAATCGTGGAATTGCTTCCTGTTTGCTCCTTTCGACCCCACACCTTCCTGGAAAAACCTCTGGGTATTTAATTAAGACTTCATTCAGGCAGCCATTTTCTAATTGAAAGATGTTGAGTCAATCTAGGTGAATCTTTAAGACCAATTTTTATCCTATCAAGCTTGTACCTGAGCCTTTTACCACAATCATTAGTGGTAACTGAGCTAACTGCTTTGCATAAGAGACCGAAACTGAAGTTGTACCCGGGTTTGGGAAGAAACCATATGTACAAAGGCATCAGAGAGGAAAGGAAGGTTATTATGAAGAGTACGTGGCTGGTAATAACTAACATTTGGATTGATGAAAGGAATCCCGGTATTGCTAAGCTTTATTTTTAAAATAAATTTCCTGTAAATGGACACAGGGAGCTGTGCTGATTTGCAAAAGTTCTGGAGGGATGCACTTGGGCTTCTGAAATATTGTTTTTAAGAACTATTTCTGAGGCATTTGTCTGGTTTACATGAACCATTTGCCAATGTGTGACATGTATTGTATTTGATTTATTTTCTTACAGAACAAAGGAAATTGGGAATCAAAACACAGACAGACAAAGTTTTCAAAGTACTTGATAGTGATGACCCGAATTCAGGAATCCAACTGTGTGGGCTGTGAGAGATGGCTGGAGACATCTCCTTATTCAAGTGTTAGTTGCAGTTCCCTTGCCTGCTCTCCCCAGCAGGGAATAGTTTGAAAGAAAGTCACTCCTGGAGTGCAGACTTAGGGTTAGTCTGCAGCTTTAAGGTTGTTGATCTTACTTGTGTCCTGCTGTTAAGTGTTTTTTTAAAGTGGGACTTCTTTTGAAAGTGGTTTTTTTTATTTTGCACAGTGGATACATGCAGATGATTTTTTTGTTTTGTTTGACTTAATGCTGCCTGGATTCTAAATGATGAGCTTAATTTCAGACGTTTAACCACTGGGCAAGTGGAATAGGCAAATAAATAGTGTTTTTTTTTTACTCTTTTGCTTTTTTACTTATTCAGTTTAGTTTTCACTCCTGTTGTGCTCTTACCCTCTCTAAGATATTGCACATTTATGATCTCAGCTGTTCAAGAGAAGCAGGAAGTTGACAGCATGCAGTTGGCCAGGAATGCCAGACTGCCTTACTATTGTAAGTAATGCCAGGCATTTGGTTGTAGGCACCTGATTCAAAATTCAGTCTGGCAGTATTCCACTGGATGTTTTTAAATTCTCATGGTTTTCTGTCACCATCAGAAGACAATTTCTGGCACCATTGTTTTAACCTTTGTTTTTAAATAAATCAGCACTGAGGTTATGTCACTAGATCTTGCTGTTGCCTCTCAGTCTGACAGATGATGAGAGATTTCTCTCCCCCTTTTTTTTTGAGTTTTTGTATCAAATATACTGATGGTGAAATTCATTAAAATTGTTAGACAGCAGTCAGGTTTCTTTATCGCAACCCAGGTTAATCAATACCGTATGAGGTTACGGGTTGCCAATGTAACGAGCTCATTTCCACAAGAACTCTAGCACCATTTTAGTTAGAATGTCAGGAGAGCAGAGCTGAAGTGGGAATCTGACCAAGCACTGTTCAGGCCACCTGCTTTTTCACTTGCAATATGCAATCACTTCTTTGAATCTAGGACTGAGAGGAGGCCTGGCATTGAATGTTACCTCCAGTGACACGTAAGATCCTAAAAACCTGGCTGCTGGGAACAGTGTGGATTTTCTTCCCTTTGCATTAATGCTTTTGGCAGCAGCAGTGTGAGATGAGCAGAAGGAATGGCTGGGTAATTTTAATTATGATGTACGCCAACTAAGAAATGCAACCCTTGAGATTTTAGTTTCCTCGAGCAAGAGTCATGCTGCTGTTTCTTTTTAAAACCATTTGGGTTTGGATATTTGCACACAAGGATTAAACCAGGGCCTACAGAAAGTAAGTATCAGGTGATGAAAGTTTGTAGGACCTGTATTCTGCAGCTTTAAATACAGCTTAGTCAAGACTTTCTGTAAACAGCTGCTTAGAGCACTACAAATAGGAGACTGATTCCTGCTTGTAAAGAAGACCAGAATTCCTCAGCATTGTCAAGAGCATGGACCTTCTCCTTGCCGCAAACTTCAATGCCTGATGTATGCGGAATGCTGATGTACAAACTGTAAAAAAAAATCAAAAAAAAGGTTTTTTTTATTAGAAATAAAATTTTCAAGTTTGTCATGGTGCTAGTCGTTATTCTATTCTGCAAATCCAATTTCCTATACTTTATTCTACAGTAGTGTTTTCCTCCTGCTGAGTTTAGAGGTTTCTCAGTTGTAAAGGTTTGAGCATTCTAGCATTTATGTACATCAGTCATGGAAAAGCTGTAGCATTCGTCATGCTGAAAGGTTTGTAACTCCTCAGGACCTGGATAATATCTAGCTTTAGTCTTAGGTGTGGCACAGATATTACTTTCAGCAGTGTGCCGGCAATGGCAATTGCCACCTAGAGGGTACCTGTTTATTGTTGGCATTACCATTCTTGAATTTTCCACTATCGAGATGGAGGTGATTTTTGGTCTCTTGAGCCTGTTCCATTAGTCATACAGCATGGAAACACACCCTTCGGTCCAACCAGTCTGTGCCAGCCATAATCTCAAACTAAACTAGTCCCACCTGTCTGCACTTGGCCCATATTCCTCCAGACATTTCTTATTCATGAACTTATCTCAATGTCTTTCAAATGTTGTAACTGTACCTGCATCCACCGCTTCCTCTGGAAGTTCTTTCTACACGTGAACCACTTTTTTTTTTAAATAACAGGCTGTCTTTTTATCTTCTCACCTTTAAAAATATGCTCCCCTCGTCTTGAAATCCCCCACGCTGGCGAAAAGATACCTTCTCTATACTCCTGATGATTTTTATAAACCTTTAAGGTCACCTCTCAAACCTCCTATGCTCCAGTGGGGGAAAAATAAATCCCAGCCTATCCTTTATAACTCAAACCCTCTGTTGTTGTTTACTGAGATCGTGGCTGATGTAGTTGTAACCTCACCCATAAACTACCCTGAACTTTTCACCCTCTTCCTAACCAAGAAACTACCCATCTCTGCCTGAACAATACTCAACGCTGCTTCCACTGTTTTTGGAAGACAGGTTGAAAGACGAAAGATAAAAGACACTGAACCCTGTCGGGGTGGGAAATTCCCTCATCTGTTTTATATGGGTCTCGAGTGACTAAGGATTACTACTAACTAGAACCAGAACTATATAAACAAGGCTGCAAGAGCAGGTCAGAGGCTAGGACTTATGTAGCACTTAAAAGATGCTAAATGTTTCACTTTTCATTGCAGCTCCAACGACATTCAGGATGCTAGATACCATTCAGGACAATGAAGGTTTTTTTTTGCTTAGCACCATATCCACCACATTGGATATCCAATCACTTCATCTCCAACACACAGCTTTGATATTGATTACCATGTGGAACAAGGGCAGCAGATACATGGGACCACCATGTTCAGGTTCTGCTCCAAGCTGTACACCATTCTCACTTGGCAATATACTGTCACTCTTTCACTGTTGCTGGGTGAGATCCTTACGTTCCCTTCCTAAACAGCATTGCAGGTGTACCTGTGCGACATGGACTGCAGTGTTTCAAGAAGGTGGGCCCTTGCCACCTTCTCCAGGACAATTGGAATGGATGATAAATTCTAGCCCAGCCAGCAATGCCCACATTGTAAGAATGAATGAAAGAAAAATAACATTTAACATTCAACATGTGTGGCTGAGGTTTTACTTTTAAAACTTTTATTTAAATGGTGGTAATAGTTTTACAAAGATCTCTTCATGTGCAAGTTTCTAAAATAAGGAAGAGTTCCCTAATAATGTGCTATTTCAAAAAAACTTGTAGGAAAATGGATTACAGACCAGTTACCTTAATATCAGTTTGATGAGCAATTGCTAGTTTATCATTTGTTGTTCTCTTATGGGACAGGGCATCACTGGCTGGCCAGTGTTTATTGCCCATCCTTACATAAGTGACTTTACACCTTGTAAATATTCAGCTGCTCCCCTGTCTTCATTTCTTGGACGTTGTTAATTGATAGATTATTTAGGTGATCTGGTCATAGGTTATTTTAAAAGGCTGTTTAGCTGGTAATGAGATCTAGTGTAAATGTTGTAATTGGGTAGATTATGTCTGACTTTCCTAATCAGTTTTTGCAGAGGTGATTAAAATAGTGGACAGGTGAATGTGTGTGGATATGATTTCTATAAACTTTGAGGTGTTTAGCTTCTGCTAGGGATAGTTGATAGGAAGTAACCACTGCTGTCTTTGCATTGAAGCTGCAATAATTCACTGTATTAATGACTTTGATTGAGTAGAAAGCCAAATATTCACATTTTCAGATGTGACAAGCTGCATTTGAAGTATTTTAATATAACAGAAGAATTAGAAATAGGAATAGGCTATTTTGCCCCTTGATCCTTTGTTACCATTCAGTAAGGTCATGGCTGATCTGACAGCTTCAACTGTCTGTCTGTCTGCTCCTGTTGCAAATATTGAGTGAATTGAATTGGCAAAATTGACAAATTAAATTCAGCCTAGACATATGTGATATGTAATATCTTTTCATATCTAAAAAGGATAGAACATAAATAGGAGATAACGAGGTGTAGAGCTGGATGATCACAGCAGAGGAGCAGGAAGGCTGACGTTTTGGGCCTAGACCCTCCTTCAGAAATGGGGAAGGGGGTTCTGAAATAAATAGGGAGGGGGAGATGGATAGAGGAGAAGATAGGTGGAGAAGAGACAGACAGGTCAAAGAGGCAGGGATGGAGCCAGTAAAGGTGAGTGTAGGGGGGTAGTTAGGGAGGAGATAGGTCCATCCAGGGAGGATGGACAGGTCAAGTGGGCGGGATGAGGTTAGTAGGTAGGAGATGGGGGTGGGGCTTGAGGTGGAAGGAAGGACAGGTTAAGGAGGCGGGGATGAGCTGGGCTGGTTTTGGGATGCGGTAGGGGGAGGGGAGATTTTGAAGCTTGTGAAATCCACATTGGTACCATTGGGCTGCAGGGTTACATCTTCTATCCGCCTTCCCCTCTCTCCCTATTTATTTCAGAACCCCCTTCCCCTCCCCTGTTTCTGAAGAAGGGTCTAGGCCCGGAACGTCAGCCTTCCTGCTCCTCTGATGCTGCTTGGCCTGCTGTGTTCATCCAGCTCTACACCTTGTTATCTCAGATTCTCCACCATCTGCAGTACTACCCCAGAACATAAATAGGCTCAAGGTTTGCAAATGGTATACTGCTGTTCTGTGTTAGGTTGTTGGTGGAGTAGAGCTCGAACCTGTGTTCTTTCTCAAGCAGTACCAGTACACACGCTTTCAGTAGATGAGCATGCATCGTGTTTGGCTATCAGATAATAATGTGTAAGTCAGGTGTTTGCTTTTGTGCCATTTTGAGTTAATCCACATCAATAATTGGGCCACAGAAGAAAGTGATGGAATGCTGTCTACCTGCCTGCATGAGTGTAGCTCCAGAACACTCAGAATCTTGACACCATCTACAATCAAGCAGCCTGTTTGATTGGTACCACATCCATCACCTTCAACATTCACTTCCTCTGCCAGTAAAGCTCAGGAGCTAGTGTATACCATCTACAAGAGTGCTGCAAAAACAATTGCGAAGGCTCTGGTATAGCTTCCAACCCCACCATCCCTACCATCTAGGAGAAGGGCAGAAGATAAATGGGAATACTATGCCTGCAAGTTCCCCTCTAAGTTGCTTACCCTCCTGACTTGCTGTTCCTTTATTGTTGCTGGGAAGAAGTTCTGGAACTCCTTCCTCAATAATGCTGTGAGTGTCCCTGTGTGACTGCAGTGTACACTACGACTTTCTCCGGGGCAACTAGGGATAGACAACTGATGCTGGTTTAGTGTACCCATATCTCATAAACATGAGAGATGGTCCCTCATCTATGCAGTTTAACCCATGGGCCCGGCTTTGGGATATTTTTGTGTTAAGGCTGAACTTCCAACTCTGTGCACTGTTCTGACTTTCTCCCCATTTCCTCCGATCCCTCTAGCTGTAAATATATCTATCTCCTTGAAAATATTCAAAGTTTTGACCTCAATGGCTTTCTGTGGTAAGGAATTCAACTAATTCACCAGTCTGTAGGGTGAAAATGCACTCCCTACACTTTGTAAAATGATTGGTTGTCCTCAGCGCAAGTGGCTGCCGTCGTTACTGGAAAACCGGTTTCATGTTTTAATATAGTTCCTTGCTAAGTACCGTCAACGAAGCCGTACGCAACTGTATCTATTAATACTACATTAAAACAGCATTTTTCGGAATGCAATCAGAATTTTCTCAGGTCCTTTTCTCATTGGCTGCTATAATTCGGCAGCCGTTTGGAGAAACTCGGCTCAGGTTAAGGGAGTTTGTTGATGTACTGAATGTCCAGAACACATTTCCTCAATCCCCTTCTCCAGATTCTTTCACTTCACAGAAAACGCAGAGAAATGGCACGTGAACAACAGTCTCTTGGTTACTGCTTGAAGACTACAACTTGCAGCAACTGCTTGCAGAAAAGCTGGCTTGCTTCAGGTCTTTTTACTGTGGAAAAAAGACAGCTACACGTACAGTTCGCATCCACAATCTGCTCAGCTACCCGGGAGCCAAAGTTGTTGCCAGCCTGATAATCTGTGGCATTCACAACTAGTCACAATTTCACCAATCAGCTAAATAAAAACCGAAGGAACTGCGGATGCTGTATATCAGAAACAAAAATAGAAATAGAAATTGCTGGAAAAGCTCATTAGGTCTGGCAGCTGACCGTTTCGTAACGTTAACTCTGATTTTCTTCACAGACGCTGCCAGCCCTGCTGAGCTTTTGCAGCAACTTCTGTTTTTGTCATCAAGCAGACACTTGTTACCTGCCAAATCTCACGCTGCACACACCCCAGTGGCACGCAGTCTACAGACATCTTTTCCCGCTGCTTGAACAAAGCAATAGACGCAACACAATGAGATTTAGTAACATGTTTTAAAGTGCAGCAACTCCTCAGTCCTTGGTTTTAAAATTCGTTTTTCCACTTCAGTGCACAATCTAAAATGCTGAAAATAAAATGATAGTCATGTGTGTCCAAGACTGCGATACAATTTAGCGAAGCCAAACAATTTAGCCAAGCTAATTCTATTAACGTTTTGGGGTGATGGGTGAAGGTCACTATTGTTGGGTGTATCACTGACTGGATAAGTTGGTCTGATGATGGTTGGAAACCTTTGAGTCCTTTTCACTAACATTTCATTTGAACAAATGTTAACATTTTGAGCTAACAACTAAAAATGTGCTGATGCCACTTTTGTGAGTCAGCTTTTACATGTACTTCCAGTAACCACTAAAAATTGCTTCACTTTCCTGAATCCGAAAACCGTTTTAAGTATGAGACAGCTATTTCTATAGTAGAAGGTACTCGCTGTTCCTGGTGTTGTCACCTCTACCTTTCTGACCAAACACATCAGATGCATAGATTTTTGCACACCTTCAATCTGTCTCTAAGTGTGACCAGAGCCTTGGAAGATGTCAGTTAGTCCCAGGGAGTCAAGCTGTTTCACTTGACCACAATCCTGGAAGTTCCTGCTGTTGACATAATGCTGATACGTTCACCAGTAACCACGTCTCTCTGTGTCATGTCCTGCCGTTTTATCCTGTCTATTTTATGTTGCCTCAGTTTCCTAACGTTCCCAATCTCCTCAGCTGTCTTTTTGTCAGTCCGGTTTCCTGAGGTGCTTTCCAACGAACGACTGAAATAGCTTCCCACGAACGCATTGTGATCTCTGCTTCCCCGCCCCCCAGTATTTGAGGCATTTTCTGTTTTTATTTATTTTTATTTAATCACGATGATCGTGATTAAATAAATGCGCTCAATGTTGAAACATACAACAATAAATTCAGATTTCTAAAACAACTTCAAATCAAACCGCCTCTTTCAGAGTTAATGGGCAGGGAAAGCGTTCCACAGTCAAGTGCTCATAAAGACCGGAGTTCACCAAGCAGTGTACACATTCAGGGCACGGACTTCGTGAGTAGTGTCCATTTCTCTGAGCCAGAGACTGCAAGTTCGAGTCTGCCCCGAGAACCTGGGCGGTATGTATGGCGAGATGTTTTCACAATACGGGTGGGGTGATGGGAGGAAGTCATCAGTGGCTAACACTCCCATCCTGCACACTCTCCATAAAGTCACTAAGTTACACTTGAAGAAGTTGCCGGAACAATCGGCGTTGGAGGGATTCGGGAGGAACATGAAATGCAGGGTCGTGAAGTCATTTTCAAGCTTCCCACGCCGAGAGAGGGCGGTGGTGTTTAGTGAATGAATACACAGGGGCTTGCTCGGCATCCAACCAGATCTCATCATCACAGATCATTCCCAAACAGCGCCCCGGTTCCGGACATATTACAAACACAGTCCTCTGGAAAGGTCCGTCTTCTGCTTCCTCCCCTGAGCTGCTGTTGAGGTCCCAATCCCGGACTGCCCCAGGATCAAAGAGAAGTTGACCAGGTAAGAGACACTTCCTGAAGGTGGGATCGCACTGTCAGAGGTTTGTCCCTCTGTTATCAGGTTTTACTAACTGATACCACAGTTTGTATCGCTATTCTCTGCACCTGGGTGCTAGACAGTAACCACACTCTTTATCTAAGCTGTGCATCAGTGAGGGAGTAGTGTTAGGATGGACCTGTTGTAGATAAGCGTCTCACTGAATTCTACAGTTAAATGCGCTGTGATTTTTCTCCACAGTTTGTTTTCTTCCGGCCGACGCTGGCTGCACTCACCATTTGAAAGGGACAGTCATGTTGACCCGATGTGTAGTCTCCTCCGGTGTTTGCCAGTGACCGGGAGGAGGCAACAACAACACTCCCGGCCATGGAGGCTCCAGTGCTGCTATCTGCCAATTCCTCCCTCTCTGGCAACGCCACGGATTGGGGGCACCTTCTGGATTTTGGCAATCCATGCCCAACATCAGCGGCCCTCACCATCTTCCTGCTAACTTCTTACACTGCTGTGCTGGTCGTGGGTTTACTGGGAAACATCTGCCTGGTCTGTGTGATCGCCAGGCAGGAGAAAAACAACGTGACCAACTTGCTGATCGCCAACTTGTCGCTGTCGGATCTGACCATCTGTGTCTTCTGTCTGCCTTTCACAGTGGCCTACACCCTCATGGACTATTGGGCTTTTGGTGAAGTCCTGTGTAAGATGGTGCCGTTTTTCCAGTGTTTGTCGGTGACCGTGTCTGTGCTCTCCCTGGTCATGATTGCTCTGGAAAGACATCAACTCATTCTCCGCCCCACGGGTTGGAAACCCAGTGTCCCTCAAGCTTATGTGGCGCTGCTCCTCACGTGGAGCCTGTCCGCCGCCGTCTCCCTGCCCTTTGTGTTTTTTCATGTTCTCACAGATGAACTTTTCTTGAATCTTCCTGTTCCCCTGGCGCCCCTGGTAAACGAGGCAGTCTGCACGGAGTCTTGGCCTTCCAAGGAGCAGAAGCTGGTTTATACAACCTGGCTGCTGGGTTTCCAGTACTGTGTGCCCCTGGCTTTCATTACAGTGTGTTACAGCAGAATATACTGGCGGCTGAGGACAAGGAGGGACCTGCTGGACAGAGCAGGCGAGGAGAACCGCAGCCTGCCGAATAGCAGGCGGATCACCCTGCTGCTGGGCTTCCTGGTCGTGGGCTTCGGGGTCTGCTGGTTCCCGCTGCACGTTTTCAACGCGGTCGTGGACTGGGATGTGCAAATTATAATGCACTGTCAGCACAATCTCATCTTCTCCCTCTGTCACCTCGCGGGCATGGCTTCCACCTGCGTCAACCCCATCATCTACGGCTTCCTCAACAATAACTTCAAGAAGGAGCTCCGGAGCATCATGCTCAGGTGTAAATGGAGCAGCAAAGAAGATGGTGAGCACTTCCCCCTGTCCACCATGAACACTGAATTTTCCAAGGCCTCCCTCAGACTGAGTTGCAGGAGTAAATGACGAACACCCTGGTGCAATAAAAAGCGCCAAAACAGAAAACAAGGCATGCAAGCTTCGGAATGTGACAGATAAATGTTGCCTTTCTCACTGTTTTGGTTTGTTCAGTGTCCGATCTCACTTCTTTAACCAGGGCTGAAGTATCAAAACGTGGTCTGTAAAATGAAGCGTCTCTGATAGCAGTTTAGACATCGCTCCCCAGTTCTCAGGTTCAATCCTGACGTAAACTGGGCTCAAAGCTTCCATCTATCAGCAAATAAACCATTTCAACTCTCCCTCCCACTCCCTGGACGACATGTCCATCGTGGGCCTCCTCCAGTAGCACAACGACGCCACCCGGAAATGGAGGAACAGCACCTTATATTCCGCCTTGGGAGCCTACAACCCAATGGTCTCAATGTGGACTTTACTAGCTTCAAAATCTCCCCACCCGCGGCTTCATCCCAAGACCAGCCCCCCTTCCCCTCTCATCCCTGCCTCCTTGACCTGTCCAT